CCAGTGTGTGGTTTTGACTTGCCAGCTCGTGGCTAATAAAACCCTCACTCCGGAATTCTGGTGTTGTATGGCAATTATTTCTATCACAGATCATTTTATTTAACACTTGTGTTTTCACCTGATTTCAACCGTTATTGAACTCGTATTTCTTCAGTTTTAATGCATAATGCTGATTAAGATCTTTGAATGTAAACAGCTTATTATTGTTTTTAAAATAGTCAAGTCAAAACAGATGAACCCATTCTTGCATCATCCCCTTACATGTGCACAGACAGGCCCAGGGGTTACTGTTAAAGTATACTTGAGGGAGTCTGATAAAAGAATAGCTGAACATCGTGAAGTGGCTTTCTGTGTAAATTTGAAAATAGTTAATATTTTATCTGTTGAAGATAGCTTTTTGAGTGACCTCAGTTTGAAGAAACAGTTTACACCCAACAAGACTGATGAGCTAATGGCTGGTTTGAATCCTCCTGTGTCTGTGTCTCTGTCCTGTCCTCTCTGACCCCAGCTGGTCTAGGCAGATGCCTGTCCGTCCTGAGCCTGGAGGCTTGGTTTCTTCCTCTTTAAATGAGGCTATGGTTTCCACTGTCACCAATGTGCTGCTCAGGATGGGAGATTTGACACAATCTGCTGGCTTCCTTAGATACATTTTATAATGTATGTGAATGTTAATGTACAGTGCCATGGGACACTGTTTGTTGTGACTTAGCACAAGCTAAATAAACTGAATTAAATTTAAATGCAGTAAGCTAAAGCAAAAACAGCTTCAATCTTTAAATTTCTGTAAGAAAAATGCGTATTCAATAAACTGAAGTCTATATTAAACCACCATTGTTAAATAAAATAATTTGTAGAAGGAATCAAACCATACAATACCAGAATTCTGGATCTGAGTGAGGTTTAATGTCACCAGAGCTGACAGGAAACCACACTGGCCAAAAACCAGGAAGTTCATCAATTTATACACGATTCTTCAATGCCTGCATTCGCCGCCTACTGACCTACGGCTGAATCACAGGYACTCAGACAAAAATCTCATCTACTGTTATCATAACGTTTTAATTATGTGTTGTTATAATTCGGACTTGTAACTAATCTATATCAATCAAAACATAATAAATTAAACATTTTCAAAATTATAAAAAGGAAAACCTAAGAATATAGTGTTGTGCTTCTAACATCAGTACTAACCTCTAATAACTATAAATTTCTTCACTTCCATAGTAGTTCAGATGATTTCTATCTTAAATAGATTTCACATGATAAATTTTGCATTACAAGGTTATCTACATGAAATTCTGTRGATATTTACAAGCACAAATAGCAGCAACATATAGACCAAGCACTTCTACTGCATCCAGGGGTCACATCCAGCAGGAAGCTAATATTGTTAGCTTGAGAACTAAAGCCATATATATAAATTACTAATAAATATATGGCTTTAGTTTATACATAGCTACCACTATATCACCATGTACATCCATATATGTATTCGTTTGGGGGCTAACACAAAAGCTAACAGGCTAAGCTGAGGTTCTTCTTCCATGAAATAGCTCTGTTGTCCTCCATCCATATTTTCAGGCTGAGTAGTTTATACATTCTCCTCTCTGTCAACACATTTTATTTTTCATCAGATATWGTCCAAGATTAACTTTCAGGATGGATAGTTCTCTCCACTCTCACTGGAAAACCTAATGAATATCATCATTTACCCAGTTTGCTTTGTGGCGTTAATAAAATGGCGCCATCTGTGTGAGAACATTTTTTTATTTTATAAATAACTGAACAGCGCACAGTATTTTTAGTTTTTGTTTTACAGTTGAAGTATGTTTATAAAGAATATCTAATGTTACAAGTAATCGGGGATCCCAAATGTGCTTTTTATGTTTTTATCATCTTGGACTTGACGTTGGAGTGTTCTGATTTGTCTGCAGGTGATCACAGATCTGGAGGAGCAGCTGACCTCACTGACYCAGGAGAATGCCGAGCTGAACCGTCAGAACTTCTACCTGTCCAAGCAGCTGGATGAGGCCTCTGATGAGAGGGAGGATCGGCTGCAGCTCGGCCAGGATGTGGACAGGCTGCGGCGGGAGGTGGCTGACAGGGAAATGCACWTGAACAACCAGAAACAGGTAAGATGCTGCTAACATTATACTCTGCTACAACTGTACACAGTATACACAGTGAAAGTCAAAGAGTTACATCCACTCATCATGAGCATGAATGTCAGATTAATTTTAGGCTGTTGATTTATTTGAATTTCTTTGAAGGAATTTATGTGATTGATTAACTGAATTTTAGATCCAGTCTTGTAATTTCATACTTGATGCAGTCAGAAGAACAGAGTCAGTGTTTCTTATCAAAATGAGGCCTTTCTGTCTGTATAAACAAAGTTGGTTAAATTTTAATGTCTGACATAAAAGGTACTGCCCTCCAGGGGTGTGACCAGAAAGACAGATGTACATGATTCATCATTAATTATTGTGCAGTCTCTCCCTTAGATCAGCCTGGGACAGACTGGGCTGGTGAGAGGGATTGATAATGTTTTGGTTCTGATAAGTCCAAGGCTTTTTTCCACTCTGAGGCCTGCTGCTGGGAGCTGAGTCAGATTGAGAATAAAGGTTTTAGAAGAGAGATCAACAGTTTATGGCTTCCAATATATTGATCATGATTTTGTTACAGTTCTTTTCTAGGTCAGAAGGATTATAAAACATACAACTTCAAATATCTTTAAAAACAAGAACTAAGCGCTCAAGTCTGAATTTAAAGTTGATTTTTTTCCAGTCAGCAAAAGGTCTAAATTATTCACACATCTAAATCATTTAAAAAACTGTGCTATACTTGACAAGGTCCAATTAACCTCTTATTTTCCACTAGTGCCACTTGGTGTAGTGTCGGTATGGGTCAGTTCAGGTGCTTTTCCATTGACGTTCTAGTCCGGTTCCAGTAGGTGTGTTTTGGGAGGTTGGTGGAGGTGGAGGTGGTTTTGGGGTTTTTCGAAGAAGAGTTAATGCGCAAAATGAGAGATGGAAACACATTTGTTGAATAAGTTCTGAAATTTAAAAAATTTGCTAAAATTTTGAATTTAAATTGAACAGAAACATGACTAATGTCACTGCTACAATTGAAAACAATGGCACCTCGAGTTCTTGTAAAGGCAGTTCAGATGCAACCAGTGACCACCCCATAGCCAATCAGTGACGAACAGTGTTCTGATGTTGCATTTTGGTGTCAACTGGGACGGCTTGGAACCACAACCTAGTGGGTACTAAAAACAGGGCCGGTTCCATGAATCTGGCCTAATGGAAATGGCTTGGAACCGTACCAAACCGTACCGACACTACACTAAGTGGCACTAGTGGAAAAGGGGCATGACCAGAATTCACTGCAGCTGGTAGTTTGTCTAAAAATAGTTTGCTTGGCAGCACTTCTTGGATTGACACATGCTCAGAACAACAGAGAAGATCAAAGAGCGCAATAAAGGCCTAAGAAGAAGAACTGTAGATTCACAGAAGTTGGGGAAGTCTTTTGGTTCTGAACAACTTTAGATTCCAGCTCATCAGTTCCAAAACACGTATGTTCAAGTTATGTAAATGCTTCACCAGTTTGCAAACGTCTGGAAGAAGATCCACACTGTCACCCTCAGATGAAAGGAAGTTGTTCAGTCCTGCCATGAACTGGAAACTGTTGGATCACCAGTATTTCTATCCCCTGAAGCCAGTTTTACATCATCGTTCACTGGGAGGGTGCTGCCCAACAAAGAAGCTCCTGCTCCAAAGGTGACAGCTTCAGGCTTGATGGAAAAGATGATGGACCATCTTGATGACCAAGTATCTTCTGGAGAAATGTTTTATGGTAAGACTGATTTATTTGATCAGAATGACAGGAAGGACTAAAGGAAATCTTACAATACTGTACCAACAATCAAGCATGGTACCGCTGGATGGACTATTAAAGAACAAGGACTTCCTTCATATTGCTCAACTTATCCTCAAATCAGCAGCTACATGATTAAAACTTAGACACAGTTGGATGTTCTGAGTCCAAACACATCAAAGCTGGTTTCTGGTTAGATAAAACACGATGTTGTAATAAAGTTAATCTGTATTTTCAAACTGTTAAAAATATGGTGTTACAGAAATTTGGGCAGACAGCAGGCAGACAGTTGGAGAAGGTTTCACAAAGCTCAACTAGGCAGGAAACAAACAGAAGGTCAGCTGGGCACAAACATGTAAGGTGATTGGTATAGTTTGGCTCTACAAGCTCAAAGGTGTTACAGTAAATGAGAAGAAGAGAGGAAGAAAAACAAAACCATCTGAACCCTGACATGACTCAGCTAAAAAAGGAAGCAGTGCAGTTCTTGATTTTCTGTGTTCTCTATAACACCTTCAAAGTGTGAATTTATTACCAAGTAAACACACAAGCAAGTACATGAGCCCAGTCTTTAGTCAGTCACAGTTTATTATTCAGATAATATTATTGACTTTAATCTGCTGCAAAGTGCTACAGAAACATTACCAGCTTTAAAACATGACTCTGCCACTGCTGTGCTCCTTTTACTGGAGTTCAGGTTTTGGCAACTTCCCTCTCTCCAGGTTCTGTGTTTTCCTTTCATGTGATAAATCCACAATAACTTGTGACAGGTGACCTCAACGTCTCACAGCTCTGAAGGAGCTAAGTGTGAATCAAATGGCCGAAGCTAACAATATTTCAGTATTGTTACATGTTGTATTCTGGTTGCTGTAAGAGAGACAGAGACAGAGAGAGAAGGGAGGCAGTGAGATATGTTCACTGCCCCAGTGGGAGGATATGTGTGTGGGTGTCCAGCAGCGCTCTCAGTCCCGCTGGTTGTGTAACCAGAGATGGAAGTCATAGACGAGGGATGGGGCGGTGTGTGGGAGGGATGTGTCATCCCCATCACTCCCAGGTCGTGTCAGCTGTAGAAGCGTTGGACTTCAGAAGGCTGTGGTGTTGCTGCAGCATCGACAGAGGCTATATTTGTCTTCAAGAGCTTTGGCTGAAGCGCTGCGTTCTAAGACGTGAACCACCAGTAGAGCTGATGAAAATCATTTTTTTATATCTCGCAACAAGTTTTTGACATAATTCTGGCTATTTGATCACATTTCTTGGCAGAATAGGTAGAGGGTGTTTTTTTTTAATTGGTTTGTTTTCTGGCACAGACCTGATTTTTAAATTCCACAATGTTTCAAGATGGTTGAGCAGGTTAGGGTTTTGGGAAACCCATTCCAGAAGCTAAATGTTAACAGGATTTATCTTGAAACCAGTACTGATGTGTGTTTGGGATCAGTCTCATTGGAACATGCAAACTTATCTTACTTTAAAATCAAGTTCACTGTTAGCTTAAACTAATTCACCTGTGGACAGAAACACTGGTGTTTCAGTAGTTTCCTGTTCATGATGAAGAAGAAATATGCAAAATCCAGTTTTGTTAGCAGGATTTTGTTGTGTTGTTAGAGACTCTAGGAGGCAGAAAAGTTAAATTTAGTCTCTCCTGGTTCTGCAAAGATATCTTTATATTCTGTTTGGGTCAGATTTTTCAGCTTGTTCGGTTTTCTCTATTTTCTATGATGTTTTCTAAACTATTAAGTCAAATCATCTGTGACGGAATTACCATATAAGGTCTGGACTAGGGCTGGGCGGTATGACCTGAAATTCATATCACTGTATAAACTGCATCAATTCAAGGTAACGGTATATATCACGGTAGAAAATTATCTTAAAAAGTAAAGATAATGTAATTTTTACAGCTTTTTTTTTCAGAAAACTGTAATCTTAATCAAACTCAGCATTTTTGCTTTAATATCTGCCTGCCAAACAATGAGCTTCTGCCTGCTGAACTTATCAGCTGCTGCGCTCTCATCTTCATCGCTGCTCGCTCATCGTCATCATCATCATCATCAGAGCAGAAGCTGACTTTACATTAGCAAGATGGATTTATGGCTGAACAAACGTCCACGTCTATTTTTTTAATTGTCTCTGTGGGTAACAATACATAAAAGACAAAAATTTTCTCCGTCAACTTGGGTGTGAAAAATATGGTTGTTAAAGCTTCGCTCTGCGCGACAGGCAGCGGGAGAGTCTGGGGGTGGGGGTCCTGATGTAACCTTTCTACAGCGGGAGGGGGTAATTTTGAGGATTTATTCTCTCAATACGTGTTTTAAAACGCTAGAATTTCTTCGTTATATTTCGAACTCCTGCTCAGTTGTCTCTGCACTCGCAGCTTTGTTGACACAGGTGTGATGACGTAATGACGATAGGACGGTAGTGGGTAAATTTCTACCGTAGGCCAATTTCATACCGTTTCTACCATCTACCGCATACACCGCACAGCCCTAGTCTGGACTTACTCAATTTCCTCGTCTTAATTCTCCTCTGGTTCTGGGTCAGACTCTGGCTTCAACATGTAAGGCTCGATGACATTTTTAAATTAAATTGTAAATAAAACATTTCTGTATCACTAGAAAATGTAACCCCTGCTCTCAAACCGTAGTGGACCGGTCTGGAAGCAAGAGGGGGGCGGGGCTTGAAGCCTCACAAAGGAACAGTGACAAAACCAGCTGCTTTGAGATAAACCTCAGAAAAGTGGTAAAGGACAAGCTGGTAATGTTAGAATGATTAGAAATTCAGACCAAAGCATTGCCGTTCCACTTTATAAAGACCACAACTGAAGGATTTAAATGTGAAAAGCAAGGATTTAAGAGCATCATATATCTACTTTAAGCTTGAGCCTTGATGCTAACTGGGTTATTCTTGAAGCTTAACTTACTTTTCTCCTTCTTCTATTTTCCCCTGAACTTTCACTATGTTCTGAGTACTGATCAATCAAATAATTCATTTCAAACAAATCATTTTAAGCTGTCAAAGAAAAATTACCAGCTGCAGTCCTTCATGATTGCTAACAAATGGTTAAGAACCTTCAGTACCACTTATTAAAGGACTTAGATCAGGGGTGTCAAAGTCATTTTCACAGAAGGCCATATGAGTGTAACGGTGGCCCTCAAAGGGCCAGCTGTAATTAATGTCTACATTTTGTGTTTAACTTTGACTAAACATGAAATGTCACATTCCTTCGTCTCATTGCTGCGTCTGAGTACTGCTAGCAATAACTGAGCTCTATGTGGTATTTCTTGCATAGAAACAGCATTTTAACATTCTTTACATGTGTGACTGACTAAATGTGAAATAACTAATAAAGAAATACTACTAAATGTAAAAGTAAGAATTTTCCTCGTTGCTGAGGTGTGGTAAGTTTTGGTATTCAACAAGTRAAAATTGCTGGGTCAAAAATCTACTTAAGTTAAAGTACTGAAGTACTTACTTTTAAAAATACTCAAGTATTCAAAAGTACAAATTAAAGTTTCTATTATCAGTACATTGCTGTCTTGTTTTCAGAGTGATTTTACAGAACCTTATAACTCTCAGAAACCACCTGATGTACTGACACATTGAACCACTCTGCTACAAATTCTACACCACCTGTAAAGACTTCAGCATAAAAACACAATAAAGTGAGCAGTGAGTTCTTAACTGCAGARATGTAGTTTATCTGTGGTGAACACATAAGACATTTAAACTGATACAAACAATGTTTCAGTCCTAAAATCAAACACTGAGCTGAGATATGAGTGTCTTCAAACATCTCCATTGCTGGGTTCTGTTTGAAATAAAGGTGGAGCTCAGCTCACGTCCATTAACAAAGATGATGTAATTCCAAATCTGTCCCAGGTGTGAGCTATGACTGTGATTGCTTCTCCTTGTGAAGAACATAGTGTGGCATTTCAAGAAAGAAAAATGGCAACAGCTGATTACAAAACTATGCTGAACCAAAAGTAAAGAGTAACTAACAAGCTTTTAAGGATGTAGTGGAGTCATTATATATTTGTCTTTGAAATGTAGTGGAGTGAAATACATAAGTACCCCCAAAAATAATTAATCAAGTAAAGTAAAAATACTCAAAAAATGTACTTAGGTACAGTAGATGTACTTCATAACTGTCCACCACTGCCAACATACAGTTAATAATGTATATTTTCTATACCTTTCTCAGCTTTTTCTAAATAATTAATTTTAAAGAAAGTACCGGTAAGTTTTTTTGTAAATGTGTTACTTCTGCTCTGAACAGAACCTGGAGACCCTGAAGACCACTTGCACCATGCTGGAGGAGCAGGTTCTGGAGCTGGAGACGATGAATGACGAGCTGCTGGAGAAGGAGAGACAGTGGGAAGCCTGGAGAGCGACGCTGGAGGAGGAGAAGAACCAGGCAGAGAGGAGGAACAGGGAGATCCAAAGGATGCTGGACACGGAGAAACAGAACAGGTGACATGATTCGCTCATCCACACTGAATCACTGCGACTGTGAACACATCAGTGACTGGACTGCTTTGGAAGGAGGCAGATGGTTTGCCCTGCTTTTATGTGTTCATATTGTGTGTTAGGCTTTTGTTACTAAACCAAGGAGATAAGACGTGTTTTAGGGCACATTTAACAAAACATCAAAGTTTATTTCTTTTATTTTTCACATTTCATTGAAACAGTGAAGTATTAGTCTTAAAACATCTTATATATTAGAACAAATGCATAGATTTAAGAAAATATAAATATTTTTGTAGTTGTTATTGTTTTTACTTATGGTCCTTCCACCTACACACACTGAATGCAACAAGGCGTATTCTCTCGGGTCTGCTAAAAGGTATTCTTGGAAACAAAAAGGTTGTTTTCTGAGTTATTGTTGGCAGGAAAGAACAGGACAATAAAAACTGGGTAAGCTACAGGCATTTCATAACACATAGAAATGCTGGATCGTCCTTTAGCATTAAACCTCATTCTACATTTAACAGAATAACATAAAAAATTAGGATTGACCTGGAAGAGCATGCCTTTTAAGGCTTAAACTAACAAACAGAAAACAAAGACTGTGTTGATGCCTCAGGCTCCGTGCAGAGCAGCGCAGCTCTGAGTCTCGTCAGGCTGTGGAACAGGCGGTCAAGGAGCACAAAGCTGAAATCCTGGCTCTGCAGCAGGCCCTCAAAGACCAGAAACTCAAAGCTGAGAGCCTCGCAGACACTGTAAGAGTTTCCACATTACTGATGTTAGCTTTGTCTGGTCACCAGCGTCACACCAAACCTTACTTTTTTGTTTTTTCCTTTTCTTGCTCCTCAGTTAAATGATCTGGAGAAGAAGCATTCCATGCTGGAGATGAACGCCCGCAGTTTGCAGCAGAAGCTAGAGAGTGAGCGGGAAGTGAAGCAGAGACTGCTGGAAGAAGTACAGTGGCTTCACATCTCACCAGTTTACCTCTTTACATTTACTCATTATTTGCAAAAAACAGTTGTTTTTAAACTTTATGATGAACATTAAAGTGGACATATCATGTTTTTAAATCCTTTTTAACATTTAAATCATTTAGTTGGTGTCTTTATAAAGTGGAACTACAAAGCTTTAGTCTGAATTACTCCTTATTCTGCCTTTACCAGCCCCTCTTTCACCTCTTTTTCTGAGGTGTGCCTCAAAGCAGCTGGTTTTGTTACTGCTCCTTTAAGATGCTTTAAGCCCCGCCCCCTCCTGCTTCCAGACCGCTCCACGCTGGTTTGAGAGCAGTTTACGTTTTCTAGCTTGCAGAAACGTTTTATTTACAATTTCATTAAAATATGTCAACAACAGAAGACGTCCATCCAGCCTTACATGTTAGAACCAGAGTCTGACCCAGAACCAGAGTCTGTTCCAGAACAAGAGTCTGACCCAGAGTCAGAGTCTGACCCAGAACCAGAGTCTGACCCAGAACCAGAGGAAAATTAAGACGAGGAAATTGAGTAAGTCCAGACCTTATTTGGTTTTTCTGTCACAGATAGTTTGACATAATAGTCCAGAAAATGTAATAGAAAATAGAGCAAACAGAATGGGCTGAAAAATCTGACCCAAACAGAATATAAAGATATCTTTTCAGAACCAGGAGGTACTAAATTCAACTTTTCTGCCTCCTAGAGACTCCAAGTCCACAACAAAATGTATTTAACAAATAAAAAAGTGGATTTTACAGGATATGTCCCCTTTAAGTGTACAATAACTGGTCTGAATTTTTTTGATTAGATTGTTTTGTTTGTAATGTGTTTTATTTTCTGTGTTGGTCTCTGCTGAGGCAGAGACTAATGGGGTACCATGAACCAAACTAAACAAGTAAATTATCATTAAAAGACAAATAAAAACTGTTGAACCATGCTGAAAGGTTCACATGGAGCTGTCACTGAAAGCAACAAAGAAGCACAAGCTCCCAACATCCAGGCTTTAATGTAACATTTTCATCCACAGCAAGAGAAACTGCAGCAGCAGCTGGATGCTCAGAAGAGTCACATATTCCGCCTGACCCAGGGGCTGCAGGATGCTTTGGACCAGACCGATTTGCTCAAAACTGAGAGGACTGACTTGGAATACCAGCTGGAGAATATCCAGGTGCTTCTACACACGCGCATGCATGCATATGAGCTATTATTCGTAAAAGACACATACATAAAGATGACGGGGCGATGAGCCTGTAAGTGCTGAGCTAAATCTTTGTTTCGTTCTCAGTCTYGTTTTTCTCCCCACTGTTCTGAACCACACAAACAACCCACCAGCCCCCACTGCACACACTTAGTTTACTTCACAACGTACAGCCCCCCCACACCTCCACTCTGTCTCTCTGTCACCCTCTGTGTGAAGTGAAGTACTTGAGGAGAAATTCATGGCAGTAGTGATGTTCACTTAGCTCCACCTGCAGGCTGTATACTCTCATGAGAAGGTGAAAATGGAGGGAACCATCACCCAGCAGACCAAACTCATCGACTTCCTTCAGGCCCAGGCTCATGGCGGCTCCAAGAAGAAAAAAGTGAGACAAGTGGAAATCACAAAACGTTTTTGAAATAAAGGAAGACGTCTACATTCTCTCCATGTTTGTCTGCTTCTATTGGCTTCTGTGTCTCTCAGGGTCTTTTCGGACGTCGGCGAGAGGACCTGTTGGCTGCCATGGCTGCTCAGGCTCAAGCTCAGGGTCAGAGTCAGGGTCAAAGCCAGGTGCCCCCTGTGCCCCCCATCCAGCCGGTGCCTCTGCAGTACAGCGACATGAAGGCAGCTCTGGATAAAGAGCGGTCTCGTTGCTCAGAGCTGGAAGATGCTCTGCAGAAAATGAGAAATGAGCTCCGATCTCTGAGAGAGGAAGGTCAGACTGCCCTACAGCAACTCATGCATTCTAATATACACAAAAACCAAGGCAGTTTTCTCTTGAATGGAAAGATTTTCTCTACACATTGCAATCTCACAACGTTGACAACATTCTTTCTCACTTTGTTTTTTATTTTAAAGTTTTATTAATTGTAGCATATTTGAGTGAAGAAAATAAGGATGATGAACTTTCTCGACACTACTACACACATGTATTTACACTCGTAAGGTTTAAGGGCCACCATGGGTGTAATTTRTGGTGGATCACAATTATTTGATCCAGTCAATAAAACCCACCCTCCAAAAAATATTATCACTTGCTCTAACACAATAGAAATGAACTGGTTAAGTACGCAGCTGCAACTCTGTTGATGTCTTTAGGTAATTTTGACCTGAGTTCAACACTTATGATGTCATATATGTACGTTTAAGCATAATCACTTAAAATAACATGCAGRGGTTTAGTCTGATTGTCACATTATGGCTSGATTTGTTGAATCGTGTGTTGTAATTCTTCCTATCCAGGTTGTAGTGCACCAGGTAAATTCTGTATATACTCCTAAGTAATTTAGGTATGTGGTGTAAAACATCTTAAAAATGTAAATATTTGTTACTGTTGGAAAAAATGAAGAAAAGAACATTATCCTTTTCTTAATTGTTCAACTAACATGGAWCAGTAAATACAAAGAAAACAGGAAAGTTAAGTAAATCACAGTAAAAGCATTACAATGTATTTTAACCCCAAAGTTTTTTTCCTTTTTTTTTTTGTCAGCGTTTTGCGATACCATCTAAAATTATGACAGAGTAATTGTAGTTGAGCTGGTGTACATTTACATGTTTTAGTTTAAAGCTGCACAACATCCTGCTCACACACTGACCCACTTAATAATATTTGAACAACAGGAAACATTCTGAGCTTGTAAAAGTTGTAAAACAGCATTAAAGTGTTGTAAGTTTTATTTATGACTCCACACGCAGCTCTCCAGTGTAAGGACCACAGCAGCACTACTAACCCAGCCACAGCAAGGCAGCAGATAATCCTGTCTGCCATGGTGAAGTCCCCCGAGCACCAGCAGGGCCCCACCAGCCTGGCACCTTCCAACTCAGGACGCAGAAAAGACACCCCAACCCCCGAGGGTGAGTGAAGGAAGGAACCTGAACACCTTAAAGGGCACATATCATGCAAAATCCACATTTTTAGCTCTTATATACATTTCGTTTTGTACTTGGAGTTTCASAGTTTAATTTAGGGTGCATTCACACCAGCCCTGTTAAGTCTGCTTTAATTGAGCTCTAGTTTAGTTTAGTTTAGTTTAGTTTACTTTAGTTTACTTTAGTTTAGTTTAGTTTACTTTAGTTTACTTTCCTTTAGCTTAGTTTACTTTAGCTTAGTTTAGTTTAGTTTAGCTTAGTTTAGTTTAGTCATTCATTCATTTCATTTAAAAACAAAGTAAATTCAATATACAAAAAATACAAATGACTAATAAAATAAAATGAAAGGCAGCAGAAGGAAGAAAGAAAATCTTATAATATCTGCACCTTTTCCATCAAAAGAAATTCAAACAATAATAATAAAAAACAGAATTTTTTTTTATAAAAATCAAGTCTTTCTCAGACAATTTTTAAGGAAATATATCAAGTCACTTCATATTTCTTCAACAGACTGGATTTTACCATTATCCTAAACTTATACATTGATCCTGCACTTTTAATATCATACTCCAGATTATTCAACAGTTTTATTCCTTGCACTGAAGTACGTCGTTCCTTCAAACTAGTTCGGATTTTAGGTTTCACAAACACCTCTGTCCCTTTTAAAAYGCAATAACTCTGTCTCTTAACAAAATTCGATTGGATGTTCAAAGGTAATATATCCTTATGAGCCTTATACATAATCTGCAAAATGTTGTAATCAACCAACTCAGAGAATTTCAATAATTTCAATTGACAAAATAATGTATTTGATGGGTAATCATGATGTTTTTGGTGATAAWTCTTATAGCTCTTTTCTGCAAAATAAAAACAGGATTTGTAATTGTTTTACACRCCTTCCCCCAGACTTCAACACAGTAAACCAAATGTGGAACAATCATTACATTATACAACATATACAAAGCTTTATCATTAAACAACTCCCTTACTTTATATAGTAATGCAATAGTTTGTTTGCTAGAGATGTGATGTTCACAAACGATCCAAATCTTTTGAATGGCTCTTTACAAYGAGCGATAGGAGCTGAGTCGCGGGCAGTGACGAGCCATATATAGTTTTATTTTTTTTATCCCTCATATAATCTTTATTTTTTTATCCTTAAATCGCTCCTGCTTTGCTTTGTTTCACGGAAAACAGGCAGAGCGGTGGAGTACAGAAGCTCACGGGGAAAGGGCAAGGGGGATTTCCGCTCGACAAAACACGTTCCACCCACGTAACGTGATGACGTCATCACATACGGCTACGGGATGACGTAACTYGTTCAAAATCAAAAGGCTCATTTGAACGGCTCTATGAAACAATCGGCTCCTCAACGGATCCCTTCAAAGAGCCATTTATCCCATCTCTAGTTGTAGTGAACTCTGGTGCGGCTCGATTACATGTGTGAACCGGAGACCACTCCAAAAGCAGGAAGAGGACCATAACGCAGGTCATTCTGAGTAATAACAGTGATAAAGTTACTCATATCTTGTAAATACCTCACTGGGCCTCTGTATAAGGTGGACATCACTGCTGTGAGGATGGMTGTGCTCCTTCTCAGTGAACGCCGCCTCACATGTAGCCGTCTCAGCTGCCGTGTGTGGGGGCTTGGGGTCGGGGGGTGAAGCACCCCATTTGGATTTATAGGAACAGCCTCAAAACGAGTTGATCTGAGACACACATCAGAAAAGTAGGGGCTGGTAAAGTTAAAATAGGAATTCAGACCAAAGCATTGCAGTTCTACATTTTATAGACAACAAATTGATTTAAATGTGAAAAAGATGGGTTTTAAAGCATGATTGTGGGCTATACTACCCTGAACATGTCTGATCTTTGAARCTAAGTGGGGTTTGGCTTTGTTAGTACTTGGGTGGGAGACCACATGGGAATACCAGGTGCCATAAAACCAATATAGGAGTTGTGCCACCATTGGAACTCTAGCAATGAAAAACCTTTGATTGTCATAGGTCACCTTCTATATAAGATAACTTAGATGAGATTAAAGCATGATATGTCTCCTTTAAACCTAACACATGCTGTTTTCTTAGCAACACATTCACACAATGATAACTCACAATATTTATATTCCAGTTAATCATTTGTGAAGCTTTTATTATCCTTTYTTACACACCTTTCAGAGAGAAGGAGAGTCACTTTTGAAAGTAAGTTGTCCAAAGTTGTGATTTTCACAGTTCGATCTCTTCTTTTCTCCTTTTGCCACCTTCACATCTTTGGCAGGCCAGATTTTGAAAGCTCTGCACTATTTGAGATGTCAGCTCCCACCTTGTTTGTCAAATAAAGTTGAAAAGGCTTCAGTGCAAAGCTTTTGAAATCTGCAGCATTCTGACTTTGGTTGCTGCTTGGTTACCTTGCTCTGTTATAATCCCACCTGAACTTCACATCATACACAGAGATGCACCGTACAGTAAACTCTGCAAAGCCTTTGAACACATWTTCACAACTAAAGGTATTATCCAGTCATTTTTTAAAAATCTAACAGATAAAAATGCATCAGACATGTCAAGCCTTTGGGATTTCCATCTAAATTTGACATCATTGTAACTGGGGAAAAGCAGTGTTTTTTTTTTGTTTTTTTTTTGATGATTCAAACTCCAGTGAAAATGGGAAACATCCAAGAATTAATGTCACCATCACAGCTGGGTTTAATCTRTTTGTTTGATCTATTTTACAACACAAGCACCTGCTTGTATTTTCAGTATCAGGATATAATATGAATTATTTGAATTTTAACAGATTCTAAAAATATTCAAGTCTATCTTCAATGTGCATTAACACACAACAGAAAGCTCCAGGTCAGTATTTATTAAACAAAACCAAAACTAAAACCAAAAAACTACAAGAATGAACCATGTGCTGCTGATCAAGTGATCTCATTTCATCGTCAGGTGTTTTAACACAAAGCCAGAGAATGATGTCAGCAATGAGCCTGGAGAAGAGGCTGTTACTGCCAGTCAGTCTAAGGAGTACTTAAGCTCATTTTCCAACAACTATTTTACAGAGAGATGGATTATTAACAGTTTATCATAGGAAAACTCCTGACCACCGCTCTATATAGGACCTTTTTAACCTCGAGCAGAAAAGTTCTGTAAAATGTCAAACATRCATGTACCTTTCATTATAAACTTCCTGGCCAAAAAAAAAGTTGCCACCAAAAAAAATAAAAGGTCACACACTGTAATATTTGTTTGGATCACCTTTAGCTTTGATTACAGCACACATTCTCTGTGTCATTGTTTGGATAATCTTCATTGTCACCAGATTTATTTCCATCCAGTTACATTAATGTTTCACCAACATCTTTCATTGATGATGGTAGAGTCTGACCTTCTCCAGCACATCCCAAAGATTCTCAGTGGACTCTGTGGAGCCAGTCCATGTGTGAAAATGATGTCTCATGCTCCCTGAACCACTCTGTCACAATTCCAGCCCCATGAATCCTGGCATTGTCATCTTGGAATATGTCCGTGYCATCAGGGAAGAAACAATCATTGAAGGAATAACCTGGTCATTCAGTATATTCAGGTCAGCTGACCTCATTCTTTGAGCCCAGACTGTTGCTGAACCTAGACCTAACCACCTGCACCAACCCCACATCTTAGAGCTTAGTTACATCCTGTTGGCACCTTCTTTTTGGCCAGGTAGTGTATATGACACAGTATTTTACACACTGTAAACAACAGTTCTTCCCTAACTCCCACACTGATCAGCATATTGAGGGCAGTAGGAGGGCTCACTGTCTTGTCTCTGCTGCAGGAGCTGAGATTTAAACCCCCGATGTTCTGATTGGAAGATGACCTCTCTATCAAAGCCAAAATACTGGGTGGATAAATATCCAATATAGTTACCAACCTTACATTAATGTATTGAATTTGTAAAAGACTTGAAAACAATATTGGATACATGACAAACAAATTTCAAACCAACTGGATAATACTTTTAAAAAACAGGAGTAACAAGTAAGAAAACTAATAAGAATCAGCATTTTTTTATACATTTTTTTGTTATCAGAGTTTACTTGCAAATGCATTTTGCTCAACATCTTCCAGTTTCTTCTGTAGCATGAAGAYGTTTTTGAGGTGTTGAATCTACCTGACAGACAAACGCACTGAAGCTGTCCTCACTCTGTTCCCTGACCCTGTTCAGAGTACAGTCGTCGTTTGAAGGACAGTCAGAGGGACAGGGACAGGGAGAGGGTCCTGCACCACAACACCCCTCACCGATTCACCGTGGGACTCAACATGAGAGCTGCCAAGTGTACTGTGTGCCTCGACACTGTTCACTTTGGCCGCCAAGCAGCAACCTGTCTCGGTGAGTGAAAGATCCAGGAGGACAGACCCACAACTAATGACCCACACCTTCATACAACCTGATAATAAAACAAAGTTCTTGTTTTTTGTGTGTGACCATACGYCTCACTGCTGTTTATTGAACCTTTTCCCCACTAGAATGTCATGCTTTGTGCCACCCAAAGTGCTCAGCATACCTTCCATCGACGTGCGGCATGTCCAGCGACTGCTCCCTGCATCTTTCTGATGGGCTGTGTCGAGACAAAGGCAGCTCTGCGGGTCAACAGCTCAAAGAGGCTGGTGGACACATGCAYCTCGAGGGCTGGATGAAACAACCCAGGTTAGCTATGAACACACTGACAYGGGGGACCTTTACACAACTTTAGCTGCTGCTGTTCAAAACCAAAAATACTCCTTTTGGAACAAATCTACAAATACTCCTACAGTATAAGAGAATCCAGCATCAGAGCCCAAAACAGACACTCTATTATTTTCTGTTTGATACGACAAACATTTTGTACTAAAAGAAGTCAGCTGAGATTTAAGAGAAACTAGGTATATTAAAGCAGGGCTGTCAAACTCAAGGGCAACATGAGCATTAGGATGGCCCTCAAAGGGCCTGTTGTTGTTAGTGTTGATGTTTTGTGTTTAATTTCGACTAAACACAGAACATCAGAATAACTGACATGCATTATGGGAGATGTAGTTTGAGCTTGTTGTTTTAACAGTGTTTAGTGAATGTAGAAATGTTTTCTTATGAGCCTTTAGCCAAGATTCTGAGGTTTATTTTGATACTAAACATGTCCATGTTTAACTAACAGATCTTAAGTTAAGAAGTCAGAAGAAATATAAAATGGGAAATGAAGGTTTCATCTTTAACCTCTTGAACACCATGAGCAAAACAGCATTTCCCATTTTCTATTTCTTTTAACTTCTGTTAACCTAAGATCTGTAAGTTGAACCTCGACATGTTTGGTACTAATAGAAAGCCAAGAATCTTGGCTTAAAGCTCATCGATATTTACATTCACCAAACACAGTTCAAACAACAGGCAGTTGAATTAGAAAGTAATCCAACTGTACAAAATGGGATTGTTGCAAATCAGAAAATACATTACAACAAATCAGTAAATACATTACAACAAATCAGTAAATACATTACAACAAATCAGTAAATACATTACAACAAATA